GGGCTTGGTTGAAAGGTACATCAAAATATTCCGCATCAAATTTCTCGATGTTATTGACCTTTCCTGAGCGTTTTGGTATGTCGGGATGTTCTGCAAATTGAAGATAAGAAGGAAAACGTGTTAATTCATATGAAATATAATATATCGATTTTTTCTCAATAACGTTTAAAGAATCCTCACCATGTTGCCAGCGTCGACAGTCATCCGAACCAAGATCTACTTTATTAAATAAATTCTCTTGGAGCTGCTTCATGTTATCAGTATCAGGAAATCTACCGGCAATTCCGGAAATTACGATTTCATCTCCAGGCTCAACGTCGATGAGCACATATTTTCCGTTAGAATTCATCCTGTAATATTAATCAGAAAAAAGAATTAGAATAGTGTCCAGAATCTAAGAAAACAAATAACTCTTACTAACGTTATTTGTTTTTTTAGATTCTGGACAATATTTTAATTTTTTTTCTGGTTACTTCTCTCTCTAAAAATATTTAAAATTTAAAACAGTATGGTTTGAAGTTTCACCTAGCAATGAAAACTGAATCACAAAATACTGAGCCGGTATATATACCAAGCAAGAAATATTCTATATGCAATATCTTTCTGCATATATAAATGATTGTATAAGTCTGGGAAAATGTGTAGAATGAATTTGTGAATGAAAACTGTTGTATGCTAAGTTTTTATATTTTGTATGATAATTTTATGTACATTTTTTACCTTATGTCTCCAAACACGCGCGGAAATTCTTGCCACGTGGCGCCAGTTCGCGTAGTATATAATAAACTTTTATTTCTTATTAATGTATGGCCTGTTTATTGGCTACCGTAGGAACTTTCACCACATGATAAGTGTTGTTGCGTCTTGTGAACAGAAGTCATAATATTTTTTTATACAGGATATTTATAACTTAGATATTAAATCTCTCGTGTGTAGGAAAATTTATTAAACTAAGTAGAAATCTCTCAACAATTAATGAGGTAAAAAAGGATTAACCAATGAGTGCGCAGGATTCTGTGGGACGAACTCTATAGATAGTCTGAAGAAGCATGTCTTGTATTTGATACACACGTAATGCATAATGTAAAACCGTGCCGCTCATTACTCGTAACATTATTTCATATTTCTCAGCCAGTCGATGTACACTATTACATACTAATATCACTTAAAAAGAAATGAAGTTAATTATTCAAACTGCGTTTGAATGGCTTATCCACCACATCAGTGATCTTTACTCGACCCTAATATGATAATTTAGAGCTACTGCGATCGAAGACGGAAACCTATTCAATTATCATGTCTTAGTTTTCGTGGAAGCAATGACATAGCTTATTTTGTTGAAATTCACGATGAGTCGCTAATGCATAAACTTCATTCTATTTAAATTAAGGTGCTAAGAGGATGTAATATTATTATTATTCTTGTTTTTACAATAGATTGTCAGACATGTAGTGTATGCTATCCTGTTGAAAATTTTTAGGTGTATTTTCACGGAGTCTAAAAGAACTCATGTGTATTTATTTAGGATATTCGAAATCCATGTAGGAATATTCATGGTATATGAAAAGCCAGCTATACACAACGCAGAAAGATTGTAGAAATATTACAGTAACTTTTTTAAGCCAGATTGCAACATTGCAGAAACATAGCGAAATTTTATTGCGAAAATGATGTAATATTTTAGCAACAATAAAATGTTCATTTGTAGAAATATTATAATATAATAATACATCAACATTACAATATAATATACAGGGTATGTCAGAGCAATACATCCACAAATATCGCGACGCCGTAGAACGCATTGAGGTGAACAAAAATGTTCTATATTATTTTGCAAACAAAATGCATTCTAAAATATACAAAACATGAATTATACTTCTAGTTACACTTGGATGGGGAATAGGAATATAGACTAAATGGTAACAAACTACAAATGCTGATTTAAAATTCGACTCGGGTATCGACTATTGTTATGATCATTTTCGTCCTTTTCTGCGGTCGATTATTTTAAGCATTGGATAAAGCAGGCTGCATGCTCGCTGTATGTCTTGTTTTATCGACACGAATTATTAATAGATAAGCGTTGCTGAATTACCGACTATCTTCGACCATCTGTTGTAAATATTTTAGCTCATAAATATTGTAGCTTACTAAGTTTACAATTAATAATGTTTTCAATGTTCCATAGATATATACAGTGTGTTAACATTATACGTGTAGTCGAGATTATTTCGCGCAGTTATCATCAGTGCTGAATCGAGTTACTGTTTCTCACTTAGGTCGCTACTACTAGGAGGGCGCAGAGCACAGTTTTCGATAATTAATCCAATGCTGATGATTAATGGAAACGTTTTATTCTCGAGACAATTTCTAATAACGGATTGTAGCACGTATGGCACGCGTTTCGCTCAATAATACTAACTTGCGTTAGTTCTCTTCTCCTCGTTTTTCCGCCAAGCTTATATATTTGTTTTTTTAAGTTCTATAAATGTACAGTAAAGCTAGTGTACACTAGCTCAGCGAAAAAGAACAAACCTCTTATATTTGTCATAGTAACGTATAAAAAAAGACGGATGTCCCTTCAATCATTTATCTATCTTTTTCTCCGGCGGACGTCAGATTTCTATAATTTAGTACAGGAAACTCTCACTCCAGTATACTATAGAGATCAATGGTTGGCAATGATGAAGTCGCGCGTCACGATTGATTGGTTGATCAGTTTGAATTGCATTCGCGTCGTCTGATTGGCTCACCGCACGGTCACGGCAACGTTTATTGCTATCGAGATTCTAGAGGAAGGCCTTTTCGAGCGCGACGACGGAACGTTACAGATGTCGTTTGTTTATGTGAGTATGATCGTCCGGTAATCGTATGGTTATATCAAGTGAGGCCGAAATTTCGGCAACTCGCTTAATCTTAACGCGCAGCCACTTGATATTTCGACGTCCTCGACTTCGTTTAATCGTCAGAGACGCGGTTCATTATCGACGCGTTTGCCAGTCTGAACCAAGTATTGCAAATGACCGTCCGCCATTACGATGTTTCGCGGGAACGAAATATTGTGTTTCGTAAATATGCACAATGTAATAATAGAATAGAGACAGATAATGCTCAGTTTCCGATATTAATAACCTGATCGCGCTATATGTTGAGGCTACGATCCGTCGGTCAGTATGCGACACTGTCGGTGAAACGCTGTGGTCGGTAGTGCATCGACAACGCGCGGGTATACATCTCTGTAGTTATCGCAAACTTGTTTCGACAGGTCTCAAGGATAAAGTCTCAGGTGCGAGGTCTGGAGATTCGATTGTCGAGAGCTGGCAACCCGTACGATGATATTTGTACGGTAAATGGACGTGGTGGCGAGGGGAATCAGCGATATGTGTCGGCACCAGTGAGTGACAAAAATATGCAAATATGTCTTAACCTCTAACCTCCGTGCATGTCAATTCGCTTACGTTTTATCAGAGAAACAGTGTGTACGTTTGATTTACGCACGATGGTAAAGATATATGTACGTATGTTTGTACATATAAGTGGTATATACGCGTAACGACGTGCGTTCATATGACTGACTGTTTAAGAGCGACGAATATTGAAGAGTGATTGTTCGTAACATTAGCAATCTTTCGAATGCGTGGGACCGAGTAAATATATATCGCCACTGCTTCTCTTTCGTTCGGATGTCGAGTGGGAGAGGCAATAAAATACATTGTCATGTTCGAGGAGAAGCTAGCTTAGTCGCTTTTCTTCCAGAAGAACGGATCTCGCCCTTACGCGCGACAAGAAAGACGGGACGGGGAGTACGTTTTCGGCAACCACCTCTTGGATATAAAGCAGCTCCATCAGGGAGTTTCGCGATCTCCCCGCTTCTAATCTTACAGCGTATGCATTATGCATCGGGTGACCCAATGCGCGCTGCCCGTTTGACCGTATCGAGGCGATGAAAAGTGTTTTTCTTACGTAACGTTAGCAAAAAGGGGGAGTCATTACATTACAAGCACAGTTTATATCAAAGAGGGTTGTTCCAGCAACGCAGACAACGACGGAGCCCTTTTCTCTTTTATCCAGCGAATTTTCGTAAATATATTGGATACAAGGGGGTACAACACACCGAGAGTGTGAAGCATAGAGAAAGGTATCTATCTACATGCTTATTAAATGCGCTGACAAAGTGCGCCAATCCGAAAAGCGACTCTTTCTCTCAGAAAACCGTTACTTGTTACTTCTTATCGCAAATTTTATATCCACATATTTACATACAGAGTGTTAAAACATTAGACCGACAAACTTTGAAGGGAAATAGAGAAATTCAAAATAAATATTTTTTTGTTAATACTATTTTTTTCCACGTCGTTTTGTCTTAGTACCACATGATAGAAATAAACTATATAGAAAAATCAAATCCCTTCATCTCTCCTGTTATCTTGCCGCAACTTTATTGGCTTATGAGGTCATTAGCAGGAAATGACATGCGATAAGTTTTATTCTGCTGAGTTTTGTTATATGTTTGTTTATTGTTGAAGTCGCGATACTCCCATTTTATATCATGTATTATTGAACTACAGTGTCGTAGAGAAGAATAGTTTTTATTGACAAGGAGTGTTCATTTTGAAATCCTTTTTTTTCCCTTCGAGGTTTGTCGGTTTAGTTTTTTAAGACCCTGTTTCTCATGTATGACCGATTTTTTCGTGTCTTATTTCTTTAAAATGTGAATCGTCTCAGTATCGCGCAATTCAGTTTCGATTTGAAAGCATGTCCGAATGAGAAGTTTCAATTATTCGGTATGCGAAATAATAAAGAAATGGTCGCATTTATCGAACTTGTGCGGGATGTTCTTGATACGTGGGAAGTACCGATGCGTGGGTTAAGGCACGAAGTATCTCACGGTTGTTTTCGGCTTCTCTGCAGTGCAGAATACTCCCGGTGGTCTCGCGGACCAGCGACGATTAGGCAGCGGATGTGTGGGAAGTGCCGCCTGTTGCATTCGTTCGTGCGGAATTGCAAAAACTAAATTCAGCGGAACCGCGCCTGCGGCGTGGTTTGTAGGTATTATGCAACTGACGTAATTCTCCGCTATACGAGGAGGGTCTGTGTCCTCGATTATCGATTCGTTAGGTTCATACGAGACCCATCCTCGCTCCGATTTGTCCTTCATCACTGCCATATTGCAGTTATAAAACATGTTACACCATTATACCTATGAAAAACGTAATCATTATTGTACGTACATATCGCATTTTTCATGAATATATTCGGTCCTTTTTTTTTTGTTGAATGATTGTTATTACGATAAAATTTAATATTCTTGCAAAAAATTTGTCACATGGTTTAGACTTTTTTTTACTTAAATTCCTAACATTGATAATATATACTTGCTTTCAGTATTTGATAATTGAAAATTGTTATATCGAGGTTTGCCTTCATGAATCCCAGTAATTAACTATCCCTTTAATGCATCGTACGCGACTGAACACTTGAAATTAATGGAACACTTGTAATTTGATAAATGTTTGGAACGAAAGAAGAACAGGTTTTAAGTAAAACAGGCATACACACGTTCCTCGACGAATTAATCGAAATTTGCAATTTGCCTGTTAATTTGATTAGCATATGTTTACGAGCACTCAAATATTACCGGCGATGGATGTTGTTATTTTGGTTTTACGCTGACACAATTCAGTTGACGCAATCACGACAAATTGCGATTCGCGGAATTAGTATTTATGCATAAACCATCAGCTGAACATTTTTCCCCCTTATTTTCGAGACAAAGAGGACCAAAGTGGAAGAAGAACGCGAGAGGCGCGTTCCATTAAGCGATCGTTTAGATCTCCGCTTTAGATCTGACGTTCTTATTCCGACACTGAGATCTGGCAATTTAATCTGGAGTTAAGAATCGCGCAGGTGGATCGATTAGGGTGAGAGCTTACGGGGCAAACGAAAGTCAGACTCATGCGACAATATTTATGCGAGAAGGCCGGCTGAGAAATTGCGTTAAATAATTCCAAGCGCGGGCCCGACGTGTCTCGCGCTTGTTAAAGTCCCGAATTGTAAATACCGCGGACGAGCTGTTACGCGTCCTTTTAGCGGTAACCCGACTTACGTCATTTACCGCAGCGGACGATAAGCATCCCGCGTGTTGCGCGACTCGGCCGCTCGCATGTCTCGTTACCTGCGTTTCACCCCTATGTCCTACATGCAAACGCTTTTATACGTCATTTATGGTGCTTACAGCTCGCTAAACGACACGTGCGCGCGTATATAGCGGCTCCGTGTGCCGGCTCGCGCGTAGAGCAAATAAATAACCGCGATTTTTTAATTGCCCTCCTTTGCGCGATCGTATCGCAATTTTGCGGCACGCATTAAGGATCGACGCAATAATTCGACGCGAGCCGACTCGCAAAAATCACCGTCGTGACACTCTCCATTTCCGCGTTCCATTTCTCGATAATCGTCGGTACCCAGAAAAAAAAGCTAGCCTTAAATCAAGAATAGATATTTTTATACGTAAGTAAGAATATTGTAATCTTCTTAGAAGATTTTTAATCTGGATTTGATTGAATTTTTATTCATGCAAGTATTATTTTCACTCAATTCAAACTAAAAATCTTCGGAATATGTTATAATTTGTTTGCATGTATATAAGAATACACCTATCGTTGATATTTAAGATTTTTTTTCCTATATATGAGCATACGTGCGTGGTGTTATTACACGACGGTGCGATGTTTATCTTAATTTAACAAATTTTTTTCGAAACTCTCACGTAATTTCTTTAACACGCATTTACACGTTCTTCCTGTCAACGTGAAGTTCACGGTTCTTGAGAAAACTTGACGTTAACTTGAACTCTGATAATCTTAATCTTCCTTACCGCAAAATTATCGCTAAAAAATGTTATTAACCCTTTAATGGTAAGGTTGGAATCGAATCAAACCCCATGCTCTGTTTTGTTCATTTTTCTCCTAGTTAATGTATAAAATTGGTAAAAGAAGTAAATAACAACACGAAACTTCGCCCTCCGCTTATTGATAAATGAAATCGACACAATAAAATTTACTGACTTTAAAAAATTGCAATAAAACGCTTTGAAAAACACTTTGACGTTTCGAAACACCCATCTTGTCATTAAAGAGTCAACGGAGCGATTTACATACGATCGAGGCATTTACACGTTAATAATATTTCACGATAAAAATATTCGTGCAAATACGTGTCGGTTTAAAAATGTCGCCTGACACGTGAGAAAAATCGACTTGTTCAGGTTGTATTCTCGTTTAGAATCTTCTTGATATTATGCAAGCATTTGCAAATTACCGGATGGAGAGTACTATAAATATCGTTGACCCATCTGAATCTCGTGATTTTTACGTGTGCGCTCGTATACACGACGTCAGGGAGGACGTGGGGGAGGTAGGGGTGAAACCGCGAAGACAGGCCGCATCGCATTTTACGTCCACGCCGAGTGACAAATAAATATGGTAATAAGCATTCGGCGAACTTCAAATGCCGCGCATCTTGGCTTTTGCGCCGCATCGAAAGAAGAAAGTTAAACTAACTTTCCCCGCGCTCTATCTGCTACGGACGCGAGCGAGAGCGCCGAGGGCGTCAGGGGGGAAGGCGGCGGAAGCGTACGAACGGGCCAGAAGATACCAAGGGTACGTAAGTACCCTTAAATAATATAAAATTCAGAGGAAGTTGATAAGCCGGGGCGCGTTCGAACTTTTCACTCGGCGCCTCCCATTTCTTATTATAATGAATGCATATCGGCTTAGCCGCAGCTAAGAAGGACGACCGTGAGAACCCTTTTTCGGGGCTCGCGAGGTTAAGAAAGGCGAAGGGGTTGGCGTATCTTTTTCTCATAGAACAAGACCCGACGCGATGTTCTTTAATTCGACAGAATTAAGTGCTTTTGGACCTTTCGAAACAGTACAGAAAGATTATATTTTCGATTAAAATAGATTGGTACACTTGAGAATATAATAATACAACAATATATAGCACAGTGCAGTAAGATAAAATATTATACCTGATGATTATTACATGCGAAAATATATTTTTTTTTAAAGATGTGATTCCCCCAACTTCTCCCAGGAGTATTTTTATACCTTTTACGAAAAAATAAAAAAAAAGATTAATACATGCGAAATGTATTTTTTTCAAAGGTAAAAGCGAGATATATATATATATATATATATATGCATACATACTAATTTTCACGTGACTATATTATCGCTCATTTCACTTTAGAGACTTTTATAATATTTCTTTCATTGAGAGATAAATGGAATTTTGAGAATTTGTCTTTGATATAAAAAATTGTTCGTGAATTATAGTTGCGTAAATTTGATATTTTAAATGTTTAATATCGATCGTGTCACGAGGATCTTGACGAAAAATTTTCTCGAGTTCTCAGGCTCCAGGCGTGGTTTGGTTTGACATAAATTTCATCAGATTTCGCGATCGATTCTTTTTCGTCCTTTTTTTTTTTCATTTTTTTCCGGTCGGTGGAAGTTACAGGAGGCCTGGTCTTCAACAAGTTTAATTCGAAATGTCAGTGCCAGATTGCGTCCGTCGAACCACATGTTGCCAACTGACTTTCCGCAAAGCCGCGCACACCCACGCACAACATACCGTGGAATATTCCCGCTACTATTATTACTATCGCGGCTACCGCGCTATTCAAAGAGGGGATTGTTTGTTCCCGCCCGTGCGGCAGTCTCGATATTTAGGAATTCAAACAAAAATACCGCGGACGCCATGTCGTATCGCAACGATAGAATCCGATATCGGAAAGGAAAAAAACGCGCAGGGAAATTTGCAATAACTCTTTTCAATCTTTGGCAAAAATACGAATAAAATTTTCAAAATATAAAGCGAAAAATAATAACGCAAAATCTTATTTCCCGCAAATCATATTTTTCGTTCTAAATTACGTTCCTACTCGAAAAAAAAAAATTGTATTGTTTTCGAATTAGCGATTTTTGCGACAGCTCGCGCCTTTCATGCTGGTTTATCTTCCCGAGATCGCAAGCAAAGTGAAAAAAGTTAGACTAGTATTATGCACTGAAGTCATTTCGGTATGGATTTCAATTTGTTCGAAGCATTCGGACGTTTTCTAAGCGGTGTTCGCTTCGGGAAAGCGCGCTCGCGGGTAAAGTTGAGCGAATTCGTTTAACGGAAAACCCGAAAGTAGAGAATTATGCCGTAAAGTTCCAAGCGCGGGCGTAAAGCCTAACCGCATCGCTTTATTAACAGGGAGGGAGAAAATAAAAGCCGAGGAGACAAATGGCCTTGGTACCATTAAATCATCCCGAAAAACTTAGTAATTTAATAAGCAATTTCATGTAAATTTTGAGGTCGTTACGGTAATGGCGCACTGGCCAAGATTTTCGGCTATTTTAAATTCACACGATACTGATAAATATCGCGAGATACGTGCCCGAAAGATCTCTCTCGTGTGAAATACGAGATATACGTTTGTTTTATTGCGGTCGTCGTCAGCTATCTTAAATTATTGGTTATGGGGAAATACATTTATCCTTTTACTTAATGCTCTTCTTCGGGTCGGCGCTTGTCTCGTGTGACACCATTCGATTATTCATACGTTATTTTTCGTGACCGATGGCGTCCCACAAGACGATGACGAGAACGAAGAGAGCTTAAGAACCGGATGTCCCGATGAAGCGGGATGAACCCGCGTTGATTCCACGTTTTATCCCGAAAAATCGTCGATCGATCATCCGTTACGCTTCCCTAAGATGTCGCCTTCGGTCTACACGCGTGCACGTGCAGTGGATATGATACGAGGCCCGTGTATATCCATATGTACGTGGGTCCACATACGTGTATTGGGAATCGCCGTTGACACGTTTCGCTACACCATCGGAATATCTCCAAGTACCGCGATCGAAGAAGCAACATCGTCGTATTCGGTCTCTAATTTCGCGATCTCCACATTAGACGCGTGATGCTACAAAATTTGCTTTTTTTACTCTTCTCGAGACGCAAACAAGATGTGTCTTGAATGTATGTATAGAAAAAAAAGTAGCAGAATCATATAAACGTAATTATTTGTTTTCAGCCTCTTAAGTCAAATAATACTTTTATCTATTTAATTTGTGTTTTTAAGCGTAAAATGGTTCTAAATTCAAGAAAGTATTTATCGGAATTATGTAATATTTCTCTACCATTGAAGAAACCTAGTGGTTTTACATTTAGATTTTTCTATCCAGTAAATATTTCCGGAAAATAAATTCTGATATTCTCAATATTATGAACTTCATACTTGTCGCAGTTGTTTTAAAGCATACAGTAGTAAATGTATGCTCATACGAAGGGAATATATAAGGGGATGTATACAATTATATTTCCACTTCTGATAAATATTTACCAAGGAATATTGAAATAATCATTTTACTTGAATCAAGTAAATATTACTTGAATGGTAGCACTTTTTTTCAGTGCACGTAATCCGAAGAAATTTATAAAATATTTAAATACACGTACATATATAAATGTACAATATTCTGGGTATATACGCATTGTATAAAAATGTGCAGTTTTTCAAGATGCACATAATCTAGACAATCACATATCTGCGAAACGCATTTAGCGACGCGTGGTGGAAAGGGGGGAGCATAAATAACTGATGAAGGTGTTAACGCGCGTTTTTGCCGGATTTATCTCGAAATCAGCGCGACGTCTTCTCAGAGAGCGGACGCTCGTGTGATGATATTTATTCTTCTCACGATGTGGCGGCTCGATGTCGCGGTGCTTTCAAAAGCTCAGAAAGCGCGATACGCCCGGGACTATGTATTATATGCACGTCGTGTTACGTATAGTCGCTCGATGCTCACGCGCGCGCGCGAAAGAGGGAAAGAAAGAGACGGTGCCGTATATACGTATGCATATATGTATACGGGGAGGACACAGCGCGGCTCTTTGCGCAACCCCGAAAGCAATATATCGATGTTTAGCAACCAATAAACGGATCACTCAAAGAGGGCTTTTACCGTAAAGCGGCCGGATGCTTCGTCGACCGTTCCCGTTCCTTCCTGCATCGCGCGCACACACTCTCATACGCGTCCATGCGTGTGTAAGTGCGCACGTATACATTTAACGGTGCTAACCGAAGCACGGCGCTTTTATGGCTCAAAGTAAACGCATTTATAGAGCCGTTTGCCAGCAGCGGCGCGCCGCGTCGGCGTAACCTCGCGGCCGACCATTTAACGCCGCTTTTATGATAATGTTATCAATAGCTCAGACCCGTTCCCTTTCATACGTCTCGTTTCGTAGCTTACTGCTTATTTACAGTCCGCGTTTATCGCTCACCTGTATCGCCGAGAAACTCGTCGTTGCGCGCGGAGATCTTCGGCGTTAATTGGACACGCCGCGGATATCGCGCGGTAACGGTGGATCGCTGCGTGGAAAAAAATATTATCGGGAGTTAGCTGTGCAACTAATGCGGGAGAAGCGAATCCAACATTAGAACGATACGTCGCTGATGCGTTGGGCGACGGGAATGTCACGGTGTGAGTCCCGAACGAGCGCGGCGCGTTCTCATCATTTGTGCGTTGTAACGGATTTGTTATATCCCGCAAGAAGCACGCGAGAATTGTGAAGAGAATTAGTGTAAATCTATTTGACAACGTGAAGAATTTCTGATCATAGTTGCGAGATTTATTGGGTAGATTCATAGATATTAAATAAGGGATCGCTCGATGTCTCTCTGAACTGACACACGGCAAATCGAACGGGTAGATCCACCATTGTTCGACCGATCGATCTGAATTTTTGATTGTTCTGGAGAAAAATTATTATTAAATTATTACATTATTTTATTTTTAGATTTTATTATATATTAACTACTACGTTTCAAGATGATAGAAATTCGGGTATTCAAGATATGTTACTGCGTACTGTTTTACGAAATATATGGTTTTCAAGGTCTGGTAAGGCGCAACTCGTGCGGTTCGCTATGTGTTAAGACTATACGAATTTATTTTCATTCAACATTTGGTTGCCACAAAATCGAAAGTAATCCAGAAATTCGTAGACTGATTTTGAACACTGGCTATTTATAAAATTAACATTTCGTTTCATAGAAGTGAATTCCCGTCAACCAAATATAATTCGTTTAATTTTTGCGGGAAATATTACATGGGAATTTGAAATTATATGAAAATTGTATGAAATTATATAAAATGACGTAGAATCATACATTGATACATCTTTGAGTTGCGATAGTTTTTATTGAAAAATGCGGCTTGATTTATTCGTATTTTGGCATCTATTATCTTTTTTATTTTATCGTTCTCACTTTCCCGTTTACTCGTAACTGCCGATAAAAGAGCAGCTTAAAGAAACTGAGGAAAATATCGAGGGAGCTAGACGACAAGAATGGGCACCCTTAAAGGAGCTCTTATATTGTCGTCGGCATCGCGATGTCACCCGCAGCGCCTTCATAATTCTTTTCACGAGTGGAGAAACAGTCGCGGCGGCTGGTGGAAAGTGCCACCAAGTGGAAGTCGCGATTTCGGTCTCATCTTTCGTCCGCCTTTTATATCACCGCTCGCACGTGTCCTCCCGACTTCTTATCGTTAAGAGACCACCATCACATCACCAATAATCCAAATCCTATTTTATCATCTTCTGAATATAGAAATTAGTTCGTTCACGCAGAAATAAACTACCTCTTTCCTGTCAATATATAATTTTTTTATGATCTGTAATCAGTAATCACGGATTTTAAACGAGATTTTTGTTTTCTTTCATCTGTTCTTATGCATTGCTGACCTTAGCGTTGTTTTTAAACAGAATGATAGACGTAATAATATTCAAACTTGGCATTTTATCCCCTTAATTCGCTGGGATCGCGTGCCTACCCCAGCTTCGTACAGCTTCGTACAAAGACATGCCACTGATATGACAAAAATTACAACTCCTCCAGCGCAACGCGAAAGAAACCTAGCTCACAGCTTCTATTCGAGTTATCGCCGCAACAGCGGCCACGGGTCGTCTCCTCGCTCTCGTATAATACCCCACCGTCACTGTCCGCCGTACGAGCTCCCTCGGAATTCCA